GGAGCTTGAGCGAAGCTTGTAAATAGGACGGAATGTGGTGCGTGCAACTTCTGCCACCCTGCCAGTCATCTCTGTCCCCTTCTCCCTCGTCACGCATTCTCTAGACAGGGCAAAATACCCTCCTCTCTCAGCACTGCAGGGCCCATTCTACAAATGCCCTAGGTCTGGAATCCCTGGCTGCCAGCATTCTCTGGTTGTGCTGACCCAGATCCTCCCAGCTGCAGTGGGCAGGCGGACACCCGGAAGGGCAGGGTGGATAGAGACGCCGAGGAAATCAGCACCCCAGCCATGTCACCCAGGCCCTTATCATGGTCACCCGCGGAGACTGAGCTGCATCCACAGCCTGGTCCCCTTCGGGTTCCTGGAAGGTTCTCTGAAGGTGCCATCAGTGAGCACATGGACTTCAAAGCAATTATGAAAGCTCTAGGAAGAAAAAAATAGTACGTTCATTCATTAGCAGCAAATGACACTACGTTACCTTAGCAAAGAAGGCAAAATGTCAGGTCAGCGACTGGCAGAGATGCTTCTCTGGTTGCCTTCCTCCAACACCCCAAGACTGGGGGGTCACATTCTTCAGGAAACATTTTAGAGAAGATACTGAGACATGAGATCAGAAAGGGAGCAGAACAGGGTGCCGACAACAGCAACGCCCCCCTCGCCCCCGGGCCAAAAGCCTGATGGCCCAGGGAATTATGGGACCGGATAGAGAGACTCAGGAAGGACTCAAGTCCAGAGACCCCGAAAGATGGCGGCAAGGGGCAGTGGATAGGAAGAAGGCTACATTCCCTCCAGTCACTGGCTCCTCTGCAGTACAGTAGAGGCTCGGGATACCCTGGGGCAGAAGGAAGTCTGAGACATGAAGGGAAGGAAGCAGGAGGAGCACGAGGCTGCTTCTTTGCGCCTGGCTCATGCATGCACACTGACGGCTGCAGGGAGCGGGACAGATGGTCTTTGTCTCTGTGCAGAACACAGTGCTGGAGTGGGGGAGGGAGGGAGCCAGAACCAGCCACGTGGCTGTGCACAACTGGATGCCTGGGGGTGACCGACCCGGAGAGAGACAGGGAGAAAGGGAGGCAGTGGGAGGAGGGGGGAAGAGCCCCATTTCCTACACTGAGCTGAAGGGTCTGAGCCATCATCCATGACACCCCAACCTTCCTCAATCCCCCAGAGCCGGGTGCCTGGTCTGACTGAGGGCAAGAATTCGGGGTTCCTGCTCTCCCCTGGACCCCACAACACAGGGCTCTCCCTTCTTCATGCACATAGGATCACAGATCCCCTCAACCTTTTTTTGCACCTGTATTTTCAGCACTCCCTTTAGTGAGAAAATAAACCCCTCGGTCTGATTCGGTGATCACTGAGAACAGCTGGCTTGTCTCTGGTGCCTGGTCTCAAAGGTCTCTGCTCAGGATTGTCCCTCTGAGCCTTATTTTGCATTAACTTATAAGCCAGGCTAGAGCCTCTGGGTCACATACATCAAATATGTTGCATCAGAACTTCTAGGGACAGAGCCCAAGCGCCAGCGTTTTAAAAAAGTCTCCTAAGTGATTCTAATGTGCAGCCAGGGTTAAGAACTATTGGACTAATGGACTCTGGAGTTGTATCACTAGGAGCACAGTGCTCAGGATCAAGGAGATAAGAGAACGATCTATTATGAGCTGAAACATTATCAGGCCAGGGCCTCAATCTGAAAGGATGGTGATGAAACATGTCCAGAGGAGGCCAATGGGGGTGGAGAAATCATATTCACTGAGGGAGGTTGAAGAGGATGTGTCTGCTGTTCAGACACTGGGGAAAGGCTGCGAGCAAAGGTCAGAACCCCTCTGTCTCTGAGGGCTTGGATGGATCTGCCCCATGAGATCCTGGGTGTGCTGTGTTCTAACAAGCACCGCCTCCTTAGTCACCATTACGGACAGAGGCACGGGACTACCAGAAGGCAGAGACTGAAGGGATGGTGGCCCAGAGCAGCGGGGAGGAGATGACTGCAGGCCCCACCTGCTCCTGAGTAGGGCCCCACCCACGAGTCCCTTTAAGCCCAGCTGTGTGCTGGAATTCCCAGCGCCCTTCCTGCCCTATCTAGGACCCCCGCTGCTAGAGGCCCTAAGTGTTCTTTGCTTGCTCATTCTTGCTGCCACGGAGACTGGCTAAAAAGCCTGTCCAAAACAACTGGCAACTCCACAAACTTTTTTTTTTTTTTTAAGATTTTATTTATTTATTTGACAGACGGAGATCACAAGTAGGCAGAGAAGCAGGCAGAGAGAAAGGAGGAAGCAGGCTCCTTGCTGAGCGGAGAGCCCGATGCGGGGCTCCATCCCAGGACCCTGGGATCATGACCTGAGCCGAAGGCAGAGGCTTTGACCCACTGAGCCACCCAGGCGCCCCATCTCTCCACCAACTTTTAACATATACATGTGACCCTTAGATCCCACTTCTGGGGCTCCATACCATACAAACTCGAGCACAAACCTGCATTATCTGTATCCAAATTATAGGAACTGGCAAAGTATATTCTAGGACAACAGTACTGTGAGATATTATGTAGACATTTGAAAAGAATGACCGGATGGGGCGCCTGGGTGGCTCAGTCAGTTAAGCAGCTGCCTTCAGCTCAGGTCATGATCCCAGGGACCTGGGATCGAGTCCCACATCAGGCTCCCTGCTCTGTGGGGGAAGCCTGCTTCTCCCTCTCCCTCTGCCTGGCACTTCCCCTGCTTGTGCTCTCTCTGTGAAATAAATAAAATCTTAAAAAAGAAAAAAAAAAGGAATGAGGGATGTCTTTGAAAGAAGCTAGACACAAAATAGTATGTACTGTAGGGTTCCGTTTATATGAAATTGAAGAACAATTGAGTGGCTCAGCCGGTTAAGCTCAGGTCATGATCCCAGAGTCCCTGGATCAATTCCCACATCGGGCTCCCCACTCAGTGGGAAGTCTGCTTCTCCCTCTGATCTTCCCCGATCTTGTGCTCTCACTCTCTCTCAAACAAATAAAGAAAATCTCTTTAAAAAAAAGAAAGAGGGGCACCTGGGTGGCTCAGTAATATTGTTTGCATTTGCAATGTTCGCACACATTACTGCACGCCTTCCGCAGCTCCTGCTTCTCTGCGAGCGCCCTGTACTTGGAGGTCCAGGATTTTGCTACTTGGGGCAAACCTTGGCTTCACATTTCAGTTTAAGACTTGGGCTTTGCAGAAGGACCTTTGGAATTGGTCAGATCAGAAGCCGTGAGAGTCACTCTGCTCATTGGCCCACACAGTCAGCAACTGCCCCCTGGGACGGGCAAGATCGGGTGCCTCCCCGATGCATGGACCTGAGGAAAGCACAGTCCCTGCTCTTGCACGAGCAGAGGCACAGTGCTGTTAAAGGACAATCAGGATGGCTCAGGACCCCCAGCCCTGCTGTCTTCACCCCCCACCCAGGCCCCTCCCTCTGAGCGATCAGATTCACTAATTGGTCTTCACAGCCCTGCTTACAAGTGCTCCTGGAGGTGAATTCTGGTCACACCTCGAGCCAGGCAAATGAACCCTTGCTCTGTCCCCTCTTTAATATGGATATGACACCTGCAGGCTACAGCTTGTCGCACTGTGAGAATTATTTCTCCATTAAAATGCAGAAGTTGGAGCTTTGCCCAGGAAAGGCAGCTAAAAATACTGCTCTCTGGGGCATTTATGACAGGGGACTTAGTGGCTACCTTCCTCACCCCTCAGTCCCCAGGAAAGCCCCCCCACCAGCCGGGTCCCTCCTGCGAACATTTGATCCAGGCTTATCCTGGCCCCATAAGGAAGAAAAAGCACTGGTTCCCGTGCCTCTTCTACAGATAGGCAAACTGAGGTCACTGCACTCCATCTACAAATTCACCTAGGGAGGAAGAGAGTGCAGCCCCAGCAGCAGGGAAAAAAAAATAAGCCCCCACATGCACCCAGGCCTTTACAGTTTGCCTGTCTCTCTACCCACTGTCTTGTCCAACCTTCAGAGAGATCTATGAAACATGAACCACTGTCGTCCCCACCTGGCAGGTAGAGTTTAGCCCAGTGGCGTGAGCAACAAACTCGAGGGTACAAGGGGGAGTACGGGGCAAAGGCAAAGCCCTGGCACAAGTCTTTTGATTCTAAAATCCACCCAGAGCACCCGTGGTGGGACTTCAAGCAGGGTGACCAGTCTCACTGCGAGGGCCATGGGCTTTTATAATAGGCGCTCTGGTTTGTAAAGATTGCTGTGTACATTTCAGAGGAGGACTCGGCGCCCTACTTAATGGATAAGGAAATCAGGGGTCAGAGGTATGAAGGACTCTGTCACAAGTTAGTAGTGCAGCTAGGAACCAAAGCCAAGTGTCCTGACCTCCAGCACAGGCCCCTCCTGCTGCCCCAGTGCCTTGTCACCCAGGGGCAAACGGGCACAGTGTGTTTTGCAGGCTTCCGCACCCCTGAACCCAGCCCCCTGGAAAACTGTTTATGCTACATTCCCCACTTCTTCTCAGTCTTTGGAGGTGGAGGATGGTGAAAACCTCAGGTCTGTTTCTTATATAAGAAAAGTAAGGTCCAGTGAAATTAGATGTCCGGCTCAGGGTCACAGAGTAGAATGAGGTTCTGGCCCTGGACCTCTGATTCAAGTCCGGTGCCCATTCCAATGGGCCAGCCACCAACAGCACGCAGAGCTCTTTCCCTGGCATCAGCTTCCTACTAGGGTTCAGCTTCCCCATCTGCAAAACGGGGTGCTAGAAGTGGCCCTAAACAAGCCCAGGATCTAAGCCTCCCAAGATAAAGAAATTAGGTGGTGCTTCCGGGAAAGGGAGGAGCCAAGCCTTTCTGGACTGCCAACTTCACTGTCCCAGGAGGAAGACTGTGGCCGGGGAGGGGCTGCATGGCCACAGAGGCCCAGCCACTGAAGGACGATGAGAGGGTGGAGACACAGGCCTGGCCCACTCTGGCCTCAAATGTCCAGGAGGGGATCCTTCCTGCCAAGTCCTGCTGCCCAACCTTCTTCCACACACTTCTCGGAGAAAAAGCTTTCTACAAAGCCATTTATTTTTCCCAAAATACACCCCCAGTTAACAAAATTCCTCAGAGTCCCACATTTAAATTAGACATGCCACCTCTTCCATTCCCGGGGAAAGGAAGAAATGTCAGCGGGAGGACATCAGAAGCATTCTGGAGGCTGGGGGCCGGTGAGAGACAAGCCAGGAGGTATCCTCCCGGCTCCAGAATAGCACCATGGTGGTGGGGGGGGTGAGGGGCTGCGTCCCTATGGCCTCCTGGCCCTGCCCCGTCCCCAGGCTTCCCCTACACTTCTGCTCTCACAGGGTACCGTGGCCACCTGCCCACCTGCTCCCACCCGGAAAGACTTCGGAAACCATTAGATTCTCCGACTGTAACAAGAGGCTCTGCCCTGTCTCCAGGTTGCTGTCCCTACCCCCTGCTCTGGGGAGGGAATGAGGATGCAGTGGGCATGAGGTATCCAGCAGGCTGTGGGCACAGAAGAAGGGTACTGTAGGGAGCAGGGCAGGAGCCTACTCGAGAGCCACAGACTGTAGCGGGCAGGTATCTGTCTCCTCACGGGTCCCTAGTTGAAGGACGAGCTCCTTAAAGGAGGGGTCTATCTTCTCACTCTGCATCCCAGGTGCCCAAGGCAGTGCTGACACCCTACGGATGCTTGATGAACATGACTAGAATGGGTGAACAAAAGGACAGGAGGGCAAAGCAGGGGGCTAGGGGCTGGCCCCCAGGGGGCCCACACAGACACCCGGACACCCAGTGTGACCAGCACGTGCTTTCCGTGGGGAGGCAGTTCCCAGGGCACAGCCCAGGGCACCACGGGAGAGACTGGGCCAAGGGAGGTCCCTACCTGTCCTGGCACGTGTTCCAGCACATGCACCTGTGTGCCTCTGCGGGCCTGGGGGAAGGGCCCTGTCTTCACTTAGTGAGGGAGGGAAAAGGCTCACGCTGGGGCCAGAAGAAGGGGAGGTGGAAGGGGAGACGCCTGTGGACTCGAGGAGATGCTGAAGCTGCAGTGTCCCTGTCTGAGGAGATGGGCTTACAGGGAGCCCGGGGTGGGGGTTGGGTGGAAGAAAGGGCTGAGAAATGAAAACTAGTGTATCAGGGCCACTGGAAAAAGAAGGCCTGGGGTGCCTGTGTATCCTGTCATTGGAGAAATAAGGCAGAGGATCAGTCTGAATATTGAGTCCTTTGGAGAAAAAGAGGCAGCCAGATGGTCCGTGCAGCATATCCGTGGAGAAATAAGGCGGTGGGGTGGTGTCCATAAGAAACTAGACAGCAGGATGGTTTATGCATCGTGTCACCGGAGAAGTAAGGCAGCAGGATGACTTGGGAATCACATCCATCAGAGAAAGAAGGCTGCGGGGAGGTCTCTCTGTCCTTCGGACAATGAGCAGACCTGCTGGAGTGGGAGCTGTCTGTTGAGGGCAGGGCTCACACGAAGACCCCAGGCCAGAGCAGCAGCTCCCTGGCCCGCGTGGTCAGGCTATTTCTTGTCCATCATCTGCATTTCGTGATGGAAAGAAAACATGAGGGAAAAAGCATTAAAGGCAAGAGTTCTACTCTTGGGCGCGCTCCAGAACCCCAGGCGCATGCTCACACACTTCCGGGTGGGGAGGGCGTGTGGGAGGGGCCACCGCAGTCTGACTAGCAGCCGCCCCCCACCCTCCGGTGCTCATCCGGGCCCTGGAGGCCCAGACAGACACAACACAGGAGCTGGGCATCAGACTGACCATGGGGCCTCCAAGGGAGGCTGCCTAGTCCCCGGCAGCCTCTCTCTCCAGCCCCACGGCTGCCCCCCTCCACACACCTTTTCCAACCACTTTCACTGGCACACTCCCCCCCTCTCCCCCTCCTTTCTATCCCCCTCCGTCTTCCCTGGCTTGGCTCCCTCCCCTGCACTAGCAAGAAATTCTGTCCAGCTGCCCTTTCCACGCTGCTGAGTGCCTCTGGGTCTTGTCTCCACACGGGGGCACCAGTGGACTGGCCCCCACGCCACTCCCTGACCTGGCGGGGGCGCGGAGTTTGTGTGATCCTGCCGCTCCCTCTCCCATTCTTTGGGCTCTGACTGTTTCAGGAGTAGTAGTACCACCACCACCACCACCACCCCCGCATCCCGGCCTCCGGGTGCTGCCTCTGTGCACACAGTGTGACCAGAGACTGGGGGGTCAGCCTGACCCGCTGGGAGCAAGATGGGGAAGCCCACTGCACCCCGCACCCAGGCCATTCTCCTGCAGCTCTCTTCTAGAACCAAGCTGACATTTTCATCTCCATCTGCTCAATCCTTCTATGCCTCATTCAGTTCAGAACAACAAAGAGGCAGATAACTTATCTCCATTCCTCCAAACCCCAACATCGACCTCTTACTGTCATGGAACACTACAGCATTTAAAAGGACTTGCTTTACCGAGCCCTTCTGCATTTGTCACCCTGCCTAGACCTCACCACCATCTTGTAAGTGTGCTGTGCATTCCACTCACGAAGAAACCTCCCAGAAGGTCAGAGGCAGAGACTAGATCCAAAGTCTCCCCTCCTGACCCCAGGGCCTCTTTCTTCTGCACAATGCTGCCTTCCCAAAGCCCCCTTTACTGACTGTTGTGAAAGCCTGGGTCTACGATCCTCCCTTATCACGAATTTTGTGCAGGTTTCTGCGGGCCCCATTGCACCCCCGCCCCCCCACCAGCCCTGCCCCGGCCTCTGGAAGTTTCCTGAAGACAGGGGATGCGTCCTTCCCTTCTCCTCTAAATGCAGGGATGAGCATCCAGGAATTTAGTGAAAGTTTTCTTTCCTGAAAGGGACACCCAGGCCACCTGAAAACGTTTCCATAACCTTTAGCAACCAACTTTGATTTTCTAGGTGGAAGCCACTCACATCGAGGGGCAAGTCTGCTGCAAGGAATGTTTTGTTCAAAACACACGCACACACACACACATTTCCACACAAACACGCATACATAGATGTCACTGTTGGTTACTTTCAGTAAGGAAGAATCTCACACTTACTTCCAAGCAACCACTTCCTACTGTAACCACCGATGTTAGGAACATGAGTAATAATGATTGTTAACATTCACAAACTGCCTACTACATGTCAGGAACGTGGCTCCCCAGCCGAAAGCCACAGTCCCTGGCCTCCCCGGAGCTCGGGTCACGTGACTAGATCCAGGCCAATGGACCAAAACTGGAGTAACAGGAGCTATTTCTAGTCAAGCCCTAGAAAAAAATAGTCCCTCCTTCTCCTCCCTCCCCCTTGCTTCCGGGGAGGGCATGGGAGCTGGAGCAGCCAGCCTGGACCCAGGGATGGAAGTTCTGAGTGGAAGAGGGCAGAAACCAATAAATGGAACCTAGTGCCAGGACGTCAGTGGCCTTAAGGTCACCTACGCTTAGACTGTTCCAGGAGAGAGAAAAAAATCCCCGTCCTTGTGAAGCCTCTGTCACATCTGCACCCGTTTAGAGCAGCTGGGACCATGGTTACTCCGCCCTCTGCCATCCCGACAGGGGAGAGTACCGGCTGCTCTCCTGGGGAGGGAGCCTCAGGTCACCAGTGAGCCTGCGATGATGACCCCCGCCACCAACGATCTTCCCCCACCTTCTGCACACAGATGGGCCAACCCACAGACACAATCTCAGGCACCACATGTCTTTACCTTCTTTGCTTTCAGAGTGTTTCAGAGGCCGCAGGGCTGCAAAAAAGGAAGGAGCACACAGTGAGGGGGGACCGTGGCCAATGGCGGGGTCAGGAGTCAGGCAGAGGGATGGGAGCTGAGAAAGAAGTGAGGCTACACAGACTGGGAGAAGTTGAGAGGATGAGGGCAACCTCCCAGCCCCAGGGAAGGGGCCCTACGCTGCTGTCCCAAGGCCCAGCTCCACTCTGTATCCTGCCACTCCTTTCTCTAGGCCTCAGTTTTCCACATCTGTACAATGGGAACAGCTACCCTGCCCTCCAGTGAGATGTGGAAGTACACCGAGTCTGTTCTGCAAATAAGGGTGACATAAGAAGCTACAGAAGGCTGCAGCCGTACCCAGGTCATGAGGTCATGAGGGGTCATGAGGAACCGAGACTGAGCAAATCTCTAGGCCATGCTCCACTCCCTACCCCCTCCCTCTGGCAACTACATCTGCCTCTGAGCAAGGAAAATGAGGCCTGATCCCAGGGCTGTCGTCACACCAAAGGCAGAGTTAATTGGCATCATTTACAGCAGTCCCCAGGTGTCAGTCTCCCGCTCTTCCTTCACGGGGGTGGGGAGGGGACCAATGTCAACTGACACCGTCCCAAATGGCTCTTCGGGAAGCTGGCCCAGGAGCCCCAGGAGGGAGGGCGGTGAAGCCTCCAGTAGCCACGAAACACCAGCGCCACGGCACTTACCCCAAGCTGGGCTCTAAGTTGGTGTCTCCAAAGCACCATGCTCTGTGCAAACCACCCCTGTGTCCAGTCACTCAAAAGAGCCTCTGGTGTCATCAAGGCAGGTTCAAGAGAACATTTTACAGAGGGACACTGAACCCCAGAGCAGCAAAGCACTGTGACCAGTCACATAACCTCTAACCAGAATGGGACTGTCTTAAATTGTGTGCCTACTAACAAGGCTCCAAGCTATCAAGCATGGACCAGGCACCAGGCCTGGTGCAAGGCCCTTTATATACATGATCTCATTTAAATAAGCCCACACAGTCTATGAAATAGGCAGTTATTAGGAGGAAACCAAGACTCAAAGATGAAGAAACTGAGGTCCAGAGAAGCAAAGCAACTTGCTCTAGGCCGCTCTGCCCACAAGCAGCAGCTGGAACTTAACCCAGGCCACCCTGTCCCCTGAGCCCTCCTTCCCCTAGAAAGTCACCAGACCCCACAGTGCAGGGTCATTCAGAGTGGAGCTGGCCCAGTTAGAAAGGTGAGGTGGGCAGGAGAGACAAAGCAACACCTGGGAGAGAGCCAGGGGAGACCCACGTCCAGGCCTCACACTGAGTAAAGACCAGACTCACCAAGGCAGGAGGCCACAGACCACAGAACACACTGCATTCAAACCCCAAGCAAACGTGGTTCCTCAGGATCCTAGAGTTCTCTCCCCATCCCTGCGTCCTTCCCTCAGCCAATAAGGCCCACTCGAAGCTCAGGCTTACCGGTCTTGGATCCTTCTCCATCCGCATCCTGGTCCTCAGCACCTGGAAGACAAGGACTCCATAACGAGACTTTCTCAGCCCCCGGTCATCCCTGCACATCTCCACCTGGGAGTATGGGAGGCAGGAAAGTGGGTGGAGTTGGCCTGGCTTGTGGTCCAGATGTTGGACACAGGGTGGGAGCCTGAGACCAGCACAGAGCAGAACCCACCACTCCCCGATCCAAGTACCATCTCCTCACCCCTCTTCCCAGCCACACCTATTGCTCCCCCAACCACCCACTTACCAAGCCTCCCTACACCAGCCTCCAACACCAGCAGCACCGACCTACCTGTGCTCCTGTCCTTCTACCAGCACCCCCGCCACCCACTGCACGAGCCACCACCCACCTGTCTGTCCCTTCTCCTCCACATACGTACCACTCCTTCCTGACACCCAGCCAGCTCCCACCTTCGACCATCTACTTCCATGTTCACCAGGGAAGCCTTTGTGTACCCACCCACCACCCACCGGCATCAACTCCCGACTCACCAGTGTGTGTTCACCACCCACCACTCCCCAGAGCTGACACGTTTCCCGACCAAGCTCAAACCACCCGTCTACCAATGTCAGCTCACCACCTGCCAATCACCAAAGTCAACTCTGATCCCAGCCCAGCTAATGGCAGCCGCTTTCAACTCTGCCCACTGGGAGGCAGACACACCCTCACACAGGGCCACACACACCATACAGCATTCACACGTGTGCCACTAAATGTCCACGCTCTACACCCACGCATCCACGCACAGACATGCTCGTGTGACTTCCACCTTTACCATCACACCGCAGGCCCACACATCCACCTCTCACCTCCGGTCCTGCTGCTACCCGCGCTCAGCCTGCCATATTCCCACCCCGACAGGCATGTTCACATGTACAAGACACATCCAGCCTCGGGGACACACACACACAATGAGGCCCCATTTGCACACTCACGCTCATTCGGTCACCAGAAGGCGACCCACATGCTGATGCACAGACACACCACCACACGCAAAGACGTGTGTGTGCACACACCCTCTCTCCCTCACCTGCATTCTCCTCTTCACAGCTCTGCTTGATCTTTCTCCAGCACACGAAGGCCAAGGCCACCAGCAGTGCAACAAGACAGACAGACAGCCCCACGGTCACCCACAGGGCCTCAGGGGGGAAGGTCATGGGCTGCCCTGGGAGGGAAAGTGGGGAGAATAGGAAGAGATGGTCATGCCTGGCCCCTGTGGCCCTGAGGACTGCACACCCCTGGCCAAGAGGTGTGAATAGGTGGCTGCCACCCTCACAAGGCTCCAGCATTATGAAGAGAGCTCACTGATGTTCCCATGCCCCTCCCCTCCCCCCACCAAGACACATTCAAGCCCTGACCCAGCTGTGGCTGGTGTGGACATGCCTCAACTTGGCAGGGGTGAAAAGTCTGCAGTTGATGATGCTCTAGAACCTTCTACGGTTCCCCACTGACATTTGAATAATGTTTCCATCCTCTCAAGGACCTCTCTTATGTGGCTGCTCCTTCCCCTCCCCCAGCCTTTCCTTCTGCGTCCACCTTAGGAACCCCTGCTCCAGCCAAGCTGGTGAACTAACCACATTCTGCAGGAACTGCCGGTGTCTTCCAGCCCCTACGCCAGTGCCGTCAGGTTCCCCTACTTTAAAAAACATCCCCAAACGCTCACCTACTTTAAGGTGCACCCTTCAGAAGGCCCTCCCTGACTCTTCCAGCCCTGCCTGGTGATATCCCCCATCTCAGAGATCGGGAGTCAGCAAATTATGGTCTGCAAGCCAGGTCTGTCCTGTGGTCTGTTTTTGTACAGCTTGTTGGCTAATAATAGTTTTCATATTTGTAAAGGGTTACCAAAAAAGAAACAGGAGGAGCAGAAGGGGAAGGAAAAGCAGCAGCAGCAACAGAGATCGTATGTGGCCCACAAAGCCTAAAATATTTACTATCCAGCCCTTTACAGAAAATGCTTGGGGAGCCCTGCATGTAGATGGGGGTGGGAACTGAGGGCGCCGTGGTGAGGGTTCTGGGTTTACCCCAGAGGGGGAGACTTGCCAGGGGAATGTTTCCGTGAAATGCTAAGGGCCCTTCTGTTAGCTCTCTCAATGGCAGAGGGAGGGGCTCGAGGCACCCGTACCTGGGTCTGGGCCAGCCACTGTTCTGAGCTTGCCAGCCAGCAGCCCAGTCCCTGGGCCCACGCCGAGTCCTGGGCAGAAAGCTTGGGGACCTCAGAGCTAACAAAAGACAGCACTGCTCTCCTCTGCTGTCTGCAGACCACGAGTGCCCAGGCCAGCAGCAGCAGCCCAGCTGGGTCTGCAGAAGGCACGGTCAGGGCCGACAGCACTGCCAGGAGAACCTTCGGCAGCAGAGGCCCTGCCAGGGACACGGGCCTTTGCAGCAGATGTTCCCTCCAGCCGGTATGGTTGGCAGAGCTGCTGCTCAGGATGTTGCAAACAAAGGGACCCATCACCCAGGGGAGCAGGAGAGGACAGCAGCTGAGACGAGGGGCCAGGAAGGCCCGTCCACGGGCACGGTCCTTGAAGCAAAGGAGGGAGCTGAGCCACCAAAATACTCGGGAGGAGGGAGGATCTCTTTCTGTGTTCACCCCCTGACCGGTGTTAGCGCCTGGAACACCGGCCAAACTGGCCCTGGAGTAAAGAGCAGGGCTTGGGCCAGGGTGTTGAGGCTCCACTCCCAGGGCATGCTCCATAAAGCCCCCTCCACGCACAGCACGCGCGATGTCACGAACCTCTCCAGCAGGTGTGGGAGAGCCCAGGCTAGAGGACTGACATTCTGAATCCTAGAATGTTTTACCAGGCATAAAGCTGCCTGAAGCGAAATACAGGCCAAGGGCTCCAAAGTAGGCCAGACCTGCTCTTATGAAAACAGGAGGCTGGGTGGTGGGGAGGAGAGAAAATTAGGCTGAGAGGCTAAAGGTTGGATTCTGGTCCTGGGTCACTGGCTTACCACTGGGTGCTGGAGCCAAGGGCCACACACCCCTGTGTATCTTCTAAACATGCAAACTATTGCATTTACTGTTTATCCAATTTTCAAAGAGGTGCCTGGCCCCCAAAATAGAGCCACTGTTCTAGTCTGCAGACTTGAGAAAGTTCTCTCTTCTCTCTGGGCTTTGGTTTCCTCATCTCTGAAAGCACTTTAAATGTTAGCTACTGAAGTTTAAAATAAAAGTGTTTTTCTCTTAGATGAGGTAAGCGTTCTCCTTACCATTCCATTGACACCCATAAGCCCTTTCTGCACAGCATGGCAAATACCCAGATCAACCCCAGGGGCAAATGATCACAAAGTCCACCTGCCCTTCAAGGCTTTCTCAACTCCCACCTGTCCCTGGAGACTTCTCCCGACTGCTCCAGCCCACTTTGGCCCCTGCCTCCTTTCGAAGAAATCTTCCCTTTCTCTGTCAATGTCACTCTACCTGGTATTTCTTATTCTCTCAGGAAACCCACCAGGGGGTGGAAGTCACAGGAAGGGAAGACAGGACAACCAGACAGACAGAACCTGCTGTCCTGATTCCAGAGGCTGTGGGGAGGCCCGTGGGAAAGCCGAGTTGCCTGAGGGACTGAGGAGCCAACCTCATGCCCCAACACGGATGGAGACTGCCTCCCTTGGCCTGAGTGTGGGCCTGAGCCCTCTTCACGACCCCAGGCACAAGGAGCATCACTGAGGTGAGCAATGCAGGAAGGGAAGGTGTTTGAGCTGGGACCCCAAATCAGACCCCAAGCAGATCGAGGGAATGGCCAAATGGGCGACATCTCAATCTGGTGTTTGGCCACACGGGGGCAGCAGAGATTGCCTGGGTTGAGAGCTCCCCTCTAGAAGTGCGGACACAGTGGGGTCCGGTCTGGACCACCTGGAAATCCCTAGCTGTCTCTCACGGCCTCAGATCAGACGGTGCCATGGCCCCAGCAACACATTCCCGTCCCCCGGAGCAGTTTCAGTAGGAAAGCCCTCCCTCACCCTGCTGCGTCTGCTCTAGGACTCCCACCCACACCTCCAAATTCCCGCAGCCACTCCCGTTTCTGCGTGCGGAGCACAAGGACCTTCTAAGGCGCTCATAGGAGGGCCAATATTATACATGACTTTCACCAGCTCCTTAAACCAAGTCCCTCAAGGACTTCTCGGTGGAGGCTTCTGACCACCCCGACCCACCTAAATTCTAACTCAGGATCTAGATAAAAGGCAGCAACTCCCTCCGTCTCCCCAGCTGCTCACCTGCCCCCTGCCTACCTGTGATGGTGACCGAGCCGTGCGCGTCCTGCCGCAGCACGGGGTTGCGCACCAGGCAGCTGTACGTGCCGTTCGCGCCCAGCACCACCCTCAGGACACTGCGCACGTCGAACAAGCCCTGCTCGTTGGCCATCTGCGACGTGGTCACGTTGCCCGTCAAGGGTGCGCCCTGCCCGTCCTGCCATAGCACCTCGGCCTCCGGATAGCCCCGGTAGCTGGAGCACGTGATGGTCACCGTGTCCCCGGGCCGCAGGTCCTTGCTGGGCTCCAGGGTCATGCTGGGCTTCGAGTAAGGAGCTGGAGTGGGGCAGGCGGTAGAGCACAGAGGTCGAGGTCAGTAAGGCAAGGACGGGACGGGGGCAGGGGGGCGTCGCAGTGGAGGAAAGGACACCTGCAGGGCTAGGGGTCAGCAGTGGGGCTTGAGTTGCGGGGTCAGTGGTGGCACCGTGGGGGGGGTGGTGCGGGAGGTGAGTGACGCAGCCCGCGAGGGCGCCCCCTGCCGGCGCTCACCCGCCACCTGCAGGCTGACTGCCGCGCTGCCGAAGTCCCGAATGCTCACAAAGCAGGTGAAGCTGCCCTCGTCCGCCACGCGCACGCGCTGCAGCCTCAGCGACGCGTTGCCCTGGGCCAGCAGGTCCGGGAAGAGCGCGGTGCGGTTGGCGTAGGCGCTGCCCTGGTCGCGGCCCTCGGCGAAGCTGTGCACCAGCTGTTTGGTGTCCGTCAGCTGCCAGATGAGGTTGAGCTGCGCCAGGCTGAAGCCGGGTTCGGGCGAGAAGGAGCAGCGCAGGGTGGCATCGGCGCCCACCAGGGCCACCACGGGGTCCTCAGGGACCTGGACCTCCAAAGCACCTGGGGGCGGTGGGGTAGGGTAATGAGGAGGGATGGGGCCTGGGAGCCTCCCTGGTCCTCCCCCGGCTCTGGGTTCAGTCCAGGCCAGTCCACCCATCCTTTAAGGCCTGAGACGCAAAGCAAAGTTTATTACCTGTGGTCCTCATTCAGTCAACAAGGCTACAGCAAGGACCTACTATTGTCGAGCATAAGAGTTAGGAATGCAACAGAGAAGACGACCAAGGTCACACCCTTACAGAGCTTACCTTTTAAAGGGAGATAGGGACATACTAAGACACAAATTCTCATTAGCGTGGGATTAGGGGTATGAGAGATATAAATAAGCCAAAGGATTAGAGGTGGTCGCTTTTCAAATATTTGACAGTGGCATTTTCACATAAGTATGTTGCCTTTATTAATTAGAAAGGGGAGTCTAAAAAGGTATATATCAAATGTTAATAGTTGTTTCCTCTGAATGAGAAAGGATCACAAGGGCTTTCTCTTTTTTCTTTTCCTAAATAAACATGATTTGCTTTTATATCCAAAGGAAGGAAAGTCCACACCTTTCAATGGGGCAGTGAGGTACATTCTGACTAAGAGGATATTAAGTTGAAATTTAAGGGAATGAGAAAGAGCCTGACATACAAAAAAGCCAGTGTAAGAATATTCCAGGCAGAAGGAATAGCCCGTGGGAAGGCCCTGAGACAAGATTCAGCTCCCTTAGTGAGACTATCAGGTAGCGGTCCACTGTGGCCCGAGAGTCTGGATGGGAGGGCTTTGCAAGACCAGTAAAAAATGTAGTTTGCTACATGTAATGGGAAGTCACTGCAGGTTGAGGGGGTGGTAATCAGGCATAATCTGCCTAACAGTGCTTACAGCTCACTCTGGCTCCTCTGCGGAAAATGGTTTAAGAACTATTTCAGTTTGGTTTGTAAGAAGTGACAAAGTTGGCTTAGCTCCAGAGGGTGGCAGTGGTGTTGGAGCACACGGGACAGAGTCAAGTTTGTTGTCGAGGGCCTGCTGATGAATGGAAAGTGAGGGGAACACAGGAGCAGGAATCCTGGAAGTCTACTGTCAACTCATCCCTAGAGCCAGATTCCCCTGTTTGTCCTCTGCCCTTGATCGTGTGGATTGGCAAGCCTCCTCACCCAGCCACCTCTGCCTCCCTTCCAGCTCTTCTTTTAGAGCCCTGGGAAATTAGTGAGAGGGGGCGGGTTCCCTGAGCCTTTCCTTTGGGGAGACATGCTCCCTACTCTGGCACTGCCATTCTTGGGTAAGTGGGTGCTCTGGGCACTAGCCAAGCAGAAACACTCAAAAAACGTAAAAACCAAACAGTCTTGATACAACGCTGACTGGATATAGCACCCATTAAAGGCTTCTTGCATTTAGAAAAATACTATTTTTATTGCGAATTACAGGGAAAGGCTATCATGATCTTTCCCCTGTGTAGAGGTCTCTAAAGTTCTTATGCTGGTCCTGGATCTCTCGCTGCAACCACATGTCCCAGGCTGCTCTCCAACTGGTGCCCCTTATAGGAGGCATTTAGGAATGTAACCTAAGGAATCACCCAAAGCCCTTCAGAGAAATCAGAGCAGCCACAACCAGAGTTGCTCCTCCTTATGACCAGCAGGTGGCACCAGACACTCAGCTTTGTCTTCCCCTAGGGCAGAAGAAGGCAGTCCCGCCCTCTGCCAGGGGCTGGTAAGGATTTAAAATAGGATGAGGACGTTGTTATTAAAAATAATGCTGTTATTGAATGCTGACTCTGTGCCAAGAGCTGTGTGGGAAGAGTTACATCATTTATCCAACATGGTTACTGAGCAGCTACTATGTGGCTGGAACCAGTCCTGGCCCTGAGGACAGACCCTGCTCTTTGAGCAGAGCAGACAAGAAGCAGATGAATGCACAACATGTCAGGCAGAGGTAAAGGCCGGGAAGCAGCATGACAAAGTAAGGTCGAGGGTAGGGAGAGGTGGTGTGCTGTTATACAAGGTAGCCAAAAAAACTTTGCTGAGGAGGTGACATCAGAGCCAAGTCCTGAATGAAATAAAGGATCAAGTCATGCTTATGTGTGGGCACAGAAAGTTCCAGGCAGAGGGAACAGTACATGCAAAGGCCCTCAGGAGGGAGCACACACACAGTGTGTTCAAGATACACATTATCACAGTAAGTGCTCACATGACCAATTTACAGTAGAGGAAATGGGTTAAGAAATGCAGAGTAAGTTGCCTGTGGAATCCCAGTGGAAATGAGTGGACAGGCAACAGGGGACAGTGGGAGGACGTTGGCCAAAATCCTCCCATCCCTGCTAGACAAAAGGACTTGGCAGGAGCCCTGCTGGGACTGGGCGCCCCCCCTCCCTCCCTCCAGCCCCCACACCGCTCCCCTCACCTGTGACACAGACCCACAGCGCTGCCAGGGCCGTGGCCAAGGGCACACGCACGCCCACACCCGCGCTGGCCCAGCAACACAGCATCTTCCCAAGAGGCAGCTGACAGCTGGGCTCTCCGTGGTGGAAGGCTGCCCCTGCCTGTGAGGAAGAGGAAGTGAGGCCTTTGTCTCCAAGGGTCTTCCCCAGGCTGGCCCTCACTTCATCCCCACCCCCTAACCAGCTCAGGGAAGTCTGCAACCATCCAGTGGCGGGTCCTCCCTTCCACACTCTACAAGGCTCCCCACCAAGGGCTTTTTTTTTTTTTTTTTTTTTTTTTTTTTTGCTGGCTGGGGGGAAGTAAGTCACTGGGGAGGCTAGACCAGGGCACAAGGGGCAGGGGGCAGCTGAGACCCACCCCTTCAGAACTAAGATGTTGGTACAAAATACAAGGAAGATGAGGCAAGGTGGCAAGTAGAGGCAAGGCTGGCCGGCCCAGGGCAAGAATGTGCACAGATCAGTTTGGCTCAGTTTGACTCCAGACGACAGCTGGTGGGGAGAGTAAAGGCTGAGGCGGGAGCCAGATGGAGAGACAAGCTGAAAGGTCTGAAGTTTATCCTGAAGGTAACTGGGAGCCTCTGACAGTTCTGGAACAGGAGAAAGGATATGGTCGGAGCTATGCTCCATAAAGATGACTGTTAGCATCTGTGGGATACATGAGAAGAGATAAAGCAGGTCTGGGTGAGAACAACAGCACTGGAGGGCGTGGGGAGAGAGGAAGGGGGCAGTCAGGGCAGCTGTGGTTTTGAGCCCCATGAGTGGGAGGGGCAGTCACTGAGACAGAACGTGGAGGTGGTCAGTGTCGCACGTGTGAAGTTAGCAGTGTTTGTGCAGAAACCTGCCGGAGAGAGTACTAGGAGGCAGCTGGTATCAGAGGATGGGGCTCGAGAAAGAGCACACTTGCTAATTGGGCACTCAGAAGCCAGGTCTGGGGCAAATCCCAGAGGCTGGAGTGAGGGCTGAGTGAGAGGTATGTCTGTGGCCGCAGGCAAGACCTCCCTGGGCCCAGCCTTGCTCCCGATCCTGGCTGCCCCCCGACAGTGTCTGACCTGGGGGACTGAACCCACCTTCACCCCATACCACAGCTGCTGTCTGACTGTTCCCATGTCCCAGGGAAGCCACGTAAGTAGTGTGGACTTAGGCTATCCAGCACTGTTCAACAAGAACAAGGCCGAGGGTGCTTGGATGCTCAGTGGGTTAAAGCCTCTGCCTTTGGCTCAGGTCATGATCCCAGGATCCTGGGATAGAGCCCCACATCGGGCTCTCCGCTCAGCAGGGAGCCTGCTTCCTCCTCTCTCTCTGCCTTCCTCTCTGCCTACTTGTGATCTCTGTCAAATAAATAAGTAAATAAATAAAATCTTAAAAAAAAAAAAAAGAACACAGTCGAGTTCACGTTTTCACAACCACCCAGGGAGACAGCCAGATCTACTCGGTCCAATTTGGAAGAGAAAAAAATAAAGCCCCTGTAAGCAAGGTGCTTTTGGTAATGGGATGTAATCTGCCAGTTAGCAAGCTGCCAAGGCTTCGGGTTCCAACATCCTGCCACGGCTTTCTGCCCTCCCAGGAGCAGACCTCATCCACAGCCAGCCGGCACCAACATTTTGGTCTCGGGCACCAGGCCTCAAGCCTTCCAGTCCCAGGCAAGTACCCTCCGGGCCCCCCCCCCCCCCCCCCCCGCCCCCCCCCCGCAGCTGGGCTGAGGGAGTCCCTCAGCCAAACCATGTGCATCCTGTACACACCCCCCCCACCCCAGCTGTCCACCGTGGGGAAGCCCTGAACAGCCACTTCCTTCCCAGACACTTCCGGTCCAAACCCAGCGGCCTCAAAGCCTTGCCGCCTGCTGAGTCAGCAGGCTTGCTGCTCCATTCATAAAGGCACCCTTGGAAGGCACCACATCCTGCCTACAAGGGCAACCACTGGCCACAGGAAAAGATAGCAGGCTGCAGCCTCTGCGCTGCGCCCCCATCTCTACCCCCATCCCCACCCCCAAGGAGGCACCAGGACCTAAGGATTAAGAAGCTTCCAGATTCTAAGACTCCTTTTCTCTCTTTCAGCCCCAGAAGAAAACCAAGGCCTGTCTGTTCTTCCCAAACCACCTCCCTCCTTCACCCTATCCCTGCTGCTCCTGCCTGCCACTCCCACCCTGACCCTCTTGTGACCTTCCTCACTGGTCCTGCTATCTGAACTCTGCCCCTACAAACCCCATTCTCAACAACGTCCGCTCTCAGGACCTAAGATAGGAATCTGCTCACAACCTTACCTGTGCTCAAGAACCTTCCATGGCTCCTCATTCACTACAGAAGTAAAGCCACTTTCCTCTGCCTGGCACTCAAGACTTCTCTTATGAGATCTCCGTATGTCAAGCTTCTACTCACCAGGGTCTTCGGGGAATGCCTGCCACCTCCATGAATGTGGGGGAGGTCAGGGAGCACCTCCCTCCTGACCAGACCTAGCAGGGCTCCCCAAGGGCCAAGCTGTCCCTCACTCCATTGGGAGAATGAGAGGATTTCCAGGGGTGGGCATTAGGCTTCCCCACTTTGGTTACCTTCCTAGACTCTGAACCCAGCAAAGTTCCCACTGTCATGGCTCACACTAGGGAAAAACCTGACAGCCTAGAGCCAAGAAGACCTGAGCATTCCAAGAGGTTCCTACCACAACAGCTGGGGCCCCAGGGACTGAGAGAGGGATGGAGAAATACCTCTTGGAGACAAGGTGCTGCTCAGGGAATGGGAGCATGACCTTGGAACAGAAAGCCCGTCACTGCTCTTTGGGACAGACAGGCTGCCCCCTGGAGACACACTGATCTCAGGCTGCATTGTCACCACCCTGCCCACCACCTCTACGAAGGGGAATTTTAATACCCTGGCGGGACCTGCCCTGGAGTCAGTATGTACCACCCCTCCCAGTGAGTCACCAGCCAGCCCTCCCTCTTCCTCTTCCTTCATCCCCGTCTCAGCCAAATGTGGGAACTCCAAGGAGTCCTGCCAGGAAAGAACACACAGCACCTTGGCTTTCCCTGGGAAGCAGGACTGAGGAGCCCAGGCCACCTTTGGCCTGAAGGTGCAGCAAGTTCATTCAACCCCCGCAGATGTGCAGCCATAGAGAAGCCCCCAAGACAGGACCCAGGATGCGCCCCCATTAAGCCCAAACCAAGAAACAAAGGCAGAGACAGGGCTCTTTGTATAGAACTCTCGGCTCAAGAGGAATTCCTTGCTCCCACCATGACCACCCCATATCTCTTAACCCCCTGCCTCCTCCCAATCCCTGCATGGTCCATTTGTACAATGCTTCCCACCAAGAGGGCAAGAAGGAGCAAAGCACATGCCAGTGTTGATCTCCGCTAACCATGTAGCACAGAGGCAGAGCTGTTGCAAACAACAGATAAGCACCTGGATCAAGCTATGCCTGAAGCGAGTACACTCCGAGACAGCCCAGATACTTGAGCCGATCTTTTTTTCCTCCTCCTAGTTTGGGCTAAGTGTCTATTATCTGCGATCAAAAGACTACTTGAATGTACATTCGTTCGTGTACTAAGAAGTGCATTTAACTGTTCACTGAGTACCTGGTAGGCAGGCCCTGGGGCCTGAGAGATGACGAAGCTGTGTCTGTCCTCAAGGAGCCTGCAATCGAAGAGAGAAGTGCATGTGAATCACTGCACTTCAGTTCAGGACATTATTAAGATACAGTGAGGGCTACTTGCTGCTACCCGAGACATAATATAACCCTAAAGGTGAGTCCAGAAAAAATGGTGAGCAGCTCCCCAGGTAAACAGGGTGGGCATAGTGGCTTCTCCCTGGCCCCAAGACACCTGTTCTCCTGGCACTGCTGGGTGCCTCTCAACCAGATCCCTTTGAAATAGTAGAAAATGAGCCCAAAGTTCAGGATTCTAGTCCCAGCTCTGTCACTGCTATGCAATTTGTAACAGGTAACTTCCCCTCTCTAAACTCCGTGTTCCTGTGTATAAAAGAAATGCTTGGCTGGATCCTAGCAGAACTACATTAGTACGTTAAATCTTCATGTACTATATCCTTGAGGTCGAGCCAATTAGCTGCCAGGCAGGTCACACTGAAATGTACAAAACACTGTGGCAGAAACCACTCATTCCCCCGTCATATCTATTCTCCTCTTCTGTAGAGTTTTTAGTTAGGCACATGGCCGCTCAGCTGAAGACTACAGATCCCAGCCTGCCTTGCAGGGAAGAGGTGTGTCCTGTGACCATCTTCGGCTAATAGAATGTGAGAGGAACTGATGTGTACAACGTCTGGGCCAGACCCTTAAAGAGAGCAGCATACCCTGTCTTGTCTCCTCCCCTTTCCCACCAGCTGGAACACAGCCGTGGTGACCATCTGAGACCATGCTGCCAAAGGCAACACTCTGGGGACTTCAGAATGGCAAGACACGAGGCCCCCGGAGAGGCTGCAGGATCAGCCCAGGACGGACCCACACTGTCACATGGGTGAGAATAAGCATCTACTCTAGCGTCACTGTTATTTTGGGTCTTTCTGACAGCATCTGAAGTGACTAATTTAGGGAGCCATCCCTCCCCTCCTTTCCCTCCTTCTCTCTCCTGCTCTTCCCACCCCATGAAAATTACCACTGCTCAGAGCGGTGAAAGGAAACAACATCTAAAATAGGTGTTTCAAAATACGACCTGGACACTATCTCCTCTGAGTCATATGGTGATCCCTGGGCCCGGCTCAGGAGATATTTCAGGGGTAGGCGTGACCTGGCTTGGGGATTGTTTTGTCTGTAAGGGAGGGAGGGGCTGAGACAGTCAAGGAGGTCTTGAAGGCTTGAACAATTGGGCACATGGGGGTCATACGATGGGGACACCTGGAAATGAAGCACGTGTAGAAGGAAGAACAATTCCTACTGGGCTTGAGCTACACAGAGCGTCCACGCCAAATGCCACATGGACTGCTGGACACATGGAGCCAGAGATCAGAACAGGATGGGGAGCTACCCATGCACTGGGAGTGATGGGAGCCCAAGCTGGGATCATTGAGGGAGATTATGGAAAGAGGAGAGATCCTCCAACAAATTCCGGAGAATCTGCAGAGGTTAATGGTCACATATCAGAACTGGGTGCCTCTTTCGGGCCACCCTCACAACCCATTTGACCCCACCAGTGCTGGGTACCCATGGCCTCCTGAAGAAATCCACTGGCTTTGGGGCAGCGTCACTGGTAGAAAGCTCTGCTTTATCCTGAAACCAAACCTGTCTCGTGTACCGCCCACCAGTCCTCCTTCAACCTTATATTACAAGTCCACCCCCTCCCTGCACGTTTTAGATCTTCTCCCTTGACGAGGCCACCCTGGGCAGCCGTTCCACATTGTTCATCAAAATAACCCAAATCACAGACGATCAAATCTGTGGTCAGTGACTGGGAACTATTTACTCTCATTGCCACAGACCCTCGTCTCTGCCGTCCTCTTCTGATGGAGCTGGGGAGGGGGTGGGACTTTCTGGGATACTTCATTTGTGCCACTATTTATTACATTTCATCCAGTTAAACCTATTCCATCACCCCAACTGCCACGACCTTTTCTTTTAAATTGTGGCAAAATCCATGGAGTGTGAGGTTGACCCTTTCAACCATTTTCAGTGTACAATTCAGTGGGGGGAAGTACAGTCACAGTGTTGTGTGACCATGCCATGATCTTTTGCAGTATTGTTGTGACAGTTCCTGGCCCCTGGAAGGTCCTTGATAATTTTGTGATGGAAGGAAAAGAAAGAAAAATGAATGTCACCCAAAAAAGTTGCCCTCTTTTCCCTGCTTTGTTTCTTGTGTCATCGAGGTTCTCAGGAAGAGGACAGGAATAAGGAGACCCCACAGCACTAGGTTCTGCCCCTGGATCAATGCCCACCCACTGTTCAGGGCTTTGGGATTAGGAATCTCTCTCTTCGTGCTGCCACCCAACTGCGCATCACAGATCTTATCCTCACTTCTGGCGGAGGGCCAGTCAAATGGGGAAGAACCAGGAAAAAAAAAAAAGGCTCCTCTGAAGAAAACAGACTCTTCTTCAAGTGCTCCATTCATAACTGGTTCCAGGATTTTGTCAGGGGTTAAGGACATGATCCCCAATCTGTCGCTTCCAAAATTTGCCGTTTTTCCTGTAAAACCGGTTATTTGCCCATCTCAAGTCTTCCAGCATTCATCTATCCACTCACACACCAAACATGATGAAGTATTATGGGCATGGAGGGTCAAGAAGTTCCCTGGAGGAGTGAGCCCCCACAGCATCCTCTGAGAAGAGAGGGACTCTGGGGAGTGGCTGTCGGGAGATGGGGCACGGGAGGTGGTCAGGGGTTGCCTAAGGATGGATTCTGTACACAGTGGGAAACCGTGGAGGGCTACGGCCCCCACCCCCACCATCTACCCCAGTTTTCCTGAAATACCCCAAACAGCTCCCAGACATCTTATCTCCAAGTTCACTCCGCACCAGGACAATCATGGGGGCCAGAAGACAAAGCCATGGAATCCACCAGATTATTACCTCCCTACCTGGCCTGAACTTCAGTTCCTTCTCAACAGCCTCTGCAACTTCTTTCTTTGAGAAGGAAGCACAACAGATGCTAAGCGGACCCTCTCTGTCTTCAGCAGTCTTGAGCTCTTAGCAACTTTCTTCCACGTCCTTTGTTCTAGAGTGCCTCTCTTCTACACCGATTCCTTCTAATAACAGGGCTCCCCGGTTCTGCAGGGAACCCAGTCCCTGTGATGCTGGTGTGACTGACCCCTAGCCTTGGGCCTCAGCAGGTGACTGGACCTGACTCACTGGAGAACCCTCAGTGACTGGCTCCAGAATGGGCCCATGAGCCAAACCACACCCAGCCGGGCTTCCCAGGGCTGTTCTGTTGGCATGAGTGGAAAAGACTCTTTCTGTAAAGGTCCGGATAGTAAATATTTTAGACTTTCCAGGCCATCTGATATCTGTCACAGCTACTCAACCCTGCCATTGTAGCAGGGAAGCAGTCATAGACAATGCATAAATGAATGAGCAGAGCTGTGTTCCAACACAACTTTATTTATGGACACTCGGATTTGAATTGCATGTAATTTTCATGAATCACATGATTTTTTTTTTTTTTCAACCATGACAAATGTAAAAACCATTCTTAGCTGTGGGCTATACAAAAAACAAGCGGCAGAAGGTTTGGCCCATGGGCTGTAGTTCGTAGGAACTGGTTTAGGGCCACACCAGCTCCACTCTCAAAGACACCCAGCTAGCAGCAAAAATGGGAACCAGTTGGGAACTGGTACATTAATGACGGCGCCTCTGTGTAATGGAGTAGCACACAGCTTTTTAAAAGAATGTATACTGATACGGAAATAAGTCCATGACATGTGTCACATCAGTCAAGCAAGCATACTATCAACTGTATGACCTCATTTCTGTATTAACAGATGGCCCCATGGCTGCAGGTCTGGTTCCCTCCCTCTCTCTCCATCTCAGTATCACCTGTATTTCAGCGCCCAGCCTTCCTCCTCCACCACTGAACCCCTCAGGGTTGGCTCCTAGACCTTCTCCTCAAGTCTCTCTACTATTTTTCCCTAGATGATTTCACCCACTCCCATGGCTTTAAATATCATCTATATGCTAGCAACTCCTAGATTTTTTTCCCCAAGCCCACACCTCTCATCTGAGCTCCAACTGTCCCCTAAACATCTCTTCGCCGGTGACTCACAGGCATCTCCCTCTTCACATGTCCCTCTTCAAACTCTGGATCTCCCCTCCAACCTGTTCCTCCTCAGCTCTTCCCGCTCGGGAAAGGCACTACTCTCCATCCTCCGCTCAAGCCAGAAACCCGAGTTTCTCTTGCCTCTACAGTCCGTCACCAAGAACAACCATTCCTGACCCCAAACTACATCTCCAGGGTCGGCAAACTACAGACAGCCCGAGCCCCAAAACCAGCCTGTCGCCTGCTTTGGTTCAGCACACCCGTTAAGAAAGGGTTTACTTTTCTAAATGGTTGGAAATCAAAAGAGTATTTCATGAGACACAGGAATCGCACGAAAGTCAAATCTCAGTGTCCATAAATAAAGTTTGGTTGGAATGTAGCCACATTTCATTTACGTATTGTCTGCGGCTGCTTCTGCAGATGACAGCGGAACCGAGCACTTGTAATCCGTGCGAAGCCTGAAATATTTACTTTCTGGCCCTTTGCAGAAAAAGTTTGCCGATGCCTGATAACGGCTTCACCCTCTGTTTGTCTCCGCCTGTGCTGCTCTCTCTGCTTTGCCAAGTCCTTGTCGTCTCTTGCCTGGCTGACCACAAAAGCTTCTTCACTGGTCTCTCGACTTTCCCTGTCTCCTCACCTGGTTCTATACCCCAGTCTTGACTCCACACAGCAACCAGAATAACTGCTATAAAAATGTAAACTGCATCAGGCCATCACTTCCAAGATGTCATCAGCTCCTCCAGGGCCCACAGAGCCCTACCTGCTCTGGCCTTGCTCACCTCTCCAGCCTCACCTCCTCCCATTTGCCCTTCCCCCACAGTCGCCTCTTCTGGGTCCTACAACAGGGGATCCTCTTCCCGTGGGTTTTTGCAAACACAGTTCCTTCTTCCCGGATGACATGCGTAACACCACTTTATCCCGACAGCCACCTTGGCAGAAAAGTCAGGAAGAGATCGGCCACCCCAGGGGAGTCCCTGTTACTCATTGCAGTTTCCTTTTCCTCGTGTCATACTGGACCCTCCCTAACAAGGACCAGTGTCTGCTCTATTGACTATTGGACCCTTGATTCCAGCGAAGACCCTGCACATGGCGAGTGCTCAGTGCGGTGTGAATGAATGAAAGTGACCATGTGTTTAGAGAGAAATGGATGTTTGTATATGGGAAAGGGGTCTGGAAGTGTGACAGTGAACCCAACCCTGGAACGTGGGAACAAGGGCAAGCATCTACTCCTACTTCTTAGTTGATATATTTCTGTGACTTTGACCATGAGTGTCTAATTCCTTCGTTAATACAAAAAGGAAAACAGCAACTTGGGAGATTTTTATAGATTTCAGACCAGGCTCCATCACTCACGTCCTAGGCTCCCTTGGCTCCCATTGCCTCTCTGGGTCTTTGTCTCCTCAACTCTCTAAGGTCCCACCACCATCCTGTGCTCTAACCATGATCACATGCTGGGCTGTTGTCATCACAAGAGGCTTCATGGGAAAAGTGAGCCCTGCTGTTTAAGGAGATGATTTTGGTGTAGGAGATACAGTTTCAAATCTAGACTCTGCTACTTTGGACAAACATCCTCTCTGACCCTCAGTTTGCTCATTTATAAAATAAGGACTTCAAATTACCCTCCTAGGAATTACAGGACAGCTGGGAATAGCCCCCTGTGGACCTTGCTTTTTAGGCCTTTTGTGTTGTTAAATGGAATCATTAAGCCACCTTGCCAGCCCCAGGGTACAGCTTGGGCTCTGGAGCAGGCAGCCCTGGGTTCAAATTCTGCCTCAAAGGTTTTTCTAGACACATGACCAAATAGAAATGATTTAACCTCTTCGAGACTTGATTCCTCATCTCTCAAGCAGGAATAACAACCCCTACCCTACAAGGGCTGCTATAAGAATAAGACCATATACAGAAAGGACTTAGGAAAGCACCTAGCACCCACAAACAGCGGTAACAAATTGTTCCTGCTGTTATTATTGCCATAGTCATGCAGACAAGGCCTCCTGGGCATCCCCACCCCCCAGCCAAGAGCTCCTCTGTCGGGCTATATACATCTAGGTTCCCCCCACCCCAGTGCACATTCCAGTATCTCCCCCGGGAAGCCCCCGTTCCTGGGAGCCCATGTTGACTTTAGGGTGACCTGGGAGACCTGCTTTTCAGAGATACTATCTTTTCCTACTCCAGGGCTCCCAATAAAAAATGCTTCTCATTCCCCACTCCTAGCAGGCTTCCCTCTGATACTCTCCAAATGCCTCAGGAAGGCCAAATGCCGAAAGGAATTAGGGGTGTAGAGGAGGCATCCATTCTCTGGACCACAAAGAGAATGACAGAGTGGGGGCAGCTGGCTGGAAGCACAGCTCAGACTTGGAGGGTTGAGGAGGGCCTCCGGAGGCACAAAGGTGCAGAAGACGAGGCCTCTGGAAAAGCAAGCGCTCCCACTGATGCTCGGACTGGGATCCCTAGGTCAGGCCTGCCCTCTCCCCAGCTCTCCAAATGAGATCTCTCCCTGTTCTGGGGAGAGACAGCAGCCCAGGTCCAGCATGTGCCAGCTGTGTGTCTTTGGGCACGTGACTTCCCCTTTCTGGGCTCTGGCTTCCCCATCTCTACCATGGAGCTAATGACGCTCGACTTTGGAGAACTGACATGATTAAACGAGGTGATGCCTGTGAAGCATCCAGCACAACCCCACCTCCAAACCTGGAACCTCCATGTTCCTAGCTGGAACCTCATACTGCAGGGGTGACAAAACTGGGCTGTGGCAGCCGAGGTTGCAGAAAAACACATGGGGCCTTGGCCCAGACGTTTGATGCATCTGAGACCAAAGGAAATTTCTCACGGATCACATCAATCAGTTCCCACCCTCCTACTTCCCGCAGGCCCAGGCTATGCCTTCCCCTGCAGCTACTGCCCACCCCCCCCCCCCCCAGTGCCGCCACCCGGCACTCCTGCCCTGGGGTCTGGAAAGAGGACAGCAATGAGAAGTGGCCACCTACTCAGAGGATAAGCTCATGGGCAGTGACATCATTCCGCCCGCCCTTCCTCTTCCTCTGACCCCATGACTCAAGTCCATAGCCTCAGGCCCGATGTGGTCATAATCTTAGAGGCTGTTTGTATTTGGACCATTTTTCTTCACACTCAAACCCCACATGTCCAACCAAGAACCAGCCAGCAGCAGGCCAGAGACGTGTTCTACAACACTTTCCAGGAGTGTCCTTAGGTGCAGTGGAATCCTAACTCACAGCTCTACAGCCATCCTGCCAATCTGACCCCAAGCGGGACTGCTTAGCTCATGGTCAAGGCCAAATCCTGCTCCAAAGAATCAAGATTTATGGCTCCAGACAAGACAGGGCTACAGATTAAGAACTGAGGAGTTCCCCCAGGAAGGCTCAGAAGTCATCCTCACAAGAGGAAGGACACCACCTCCTCAGAAGAGACGATGCTTCTATAAATGTCCTTTCCACAAATGTTCAAGCACCCAGCCCCCCTGTCAGGCATGTGAGTATCTCAGACATGCAGCTGGTCTGCTTCCATCGGGTGACTGGTCAGAGCTGCAGAGGGCCAGGGACAGGAAGGAACGACAGGTCCACAAATCCCAGCACCCCTTCCCATCTCAGCCTTGCATTAACACACGCTTCTCACCTCTTACAAGCTGGATGGTCTGATTTCTTGCAGCCCACGAGTCTAGAGTAAATTGGAAAGCTCACTGAAGGCAAGCAGGAGAAACCACCAGTGATGTCATTGAAGAGAGGAAAAAAACCTCCAAACAACAGTCAAGTGATCAGTAAAAGTGTGGCTGAAGCCACTTAGTGCAAAGCTCACAAGAGTCCCCTCACCCTACAGTCCGTTAGTGCAAAATCTGACATTCACACCACTGACCCAAAATCATGAAGAAAAATTTCACTGACGTCAGGAGTGTCCTGATGTCAGACTGTGATGTACATAATACGGGAGAGAAAGATTTCCATGCTTGAAAGTTTAAATAAGTGTTAGTGCTAAGGCTCAGGAACTCTAGATATCAGGGAATGTACTCACCCCAAATATTCCCATTCCCAAATGAGCTGGAACTATGAGCCATGGCTCACACCCTGCAGCCCCAGAGCCCTCCACCCCGCCCCACCACTCAGATGGGCCCAACCCATCAGACAAGTTTCAGCTTCAATTTCAAGTTTAGACTTCAATTTCCCCCAGCTTCCAAAAGCGTCCCACCTATGTACAGGCCCTCAAACTGCAAGGAAGGCTGCACAGCATCAGATTTCCTAGGCATTTCTGAGAGGCCAGAGGGAATGAGAGGAGGCTGGACTAAATGCAGACCTCTCTGAAAGACAGAATAGCTTCATTACTTTCTAATACAGAAGCCAACAGCTAAAGACATGCATGTAAGAAAAGGACCTGGGCCTTAACTGAATGATGAAATGGACTCATTTACAACCATCCACATCCAGTTTGAAGGCAAATTGTTTTTCTCAATTAGATCAAGCAAACCGTTCCCCTCTTCCCCCAATCGTTTCTGCACTACCATTTGCCTAAAGTTTTCCCCCACTGATAGATCCATCCATTTCTGAGTCATCTGTCACGCATTTCTCATTAGGGCAGGTCTGGCTTAGAAATAAATCCCCTTTTCTGGCAGTTTGCTGCCTTAGGCCACCAAACCTGCCAACTCCCTGGTTAAACAGCATTCTGAGGGCCTTGGGACACTGAGGTTCAACTCCCTCCCCTCTAGTGTGTCCCCCATCCTGGGTCCCCCACCTTAGGGACACCAAGTTTCCTACCTCCTCTCTGTCCTACCTCCCCCACCATCTCTTGGAGAATTTCAGAGCCCAAATCGCCCCATCCTGCTCCCGCGTGTTCGCCCCCCTCCCCCAACACCTATTCACCCCTTCCCCCAGGTCAGCTGTCCCTACCTGTTCTTTTCAGAATCTGTCCCCCTCCCGCCCACTGCTGCCCACGTAAGTCCTCCCTTCAGGGCCAAGAAGAGTGGGCCCCCTTTCCCAACCCTCCCCCGCAGCTCTCCCTCCTCGGAGCTGGGACTCAGGGTGTTTTCCTCTGCAGGGCCCTCTGGAGGGCCCGGAAGACCCTGCTTCCCCGCTAACCCAGGCTGGCTTCGTTGAGCTTTCCAGAATCATCAACACAGTGACAGATCTGCCCCCACGCCTCTGCACGCCCAGGGTCCAGGGAAGCACAAGCACCCACCAGCCTCCTCCAGGACCTTCCAGGCGAGGGCAGGTCCCACTGTGCCCCAGCCTCCTCGGCGACAAGCTTAGGGCGGGGTTGGATTGTGGCGGCCCCCGCTGCCTCGGGGCCCAGAGCCCGGCTACGCCGCGGACCCGGGGAGTGGGCCGGGCGCGGGCGCCCTGCGAGGGAGGGCACAGCACGCGGTCCGGCTGCCCGGCACCGCTCCGCCGCAGACAAAGGCCGCCCCCACCCTCGCGGGCCCGCGCCACGCAAGCACTCACCGCGCCGCGGCCGGCTCTTGGGACGCGGGGACGCGGCGGAGCGTTGTCTAGCCGCCGCCGCCGCGAGGCCGGGCCCTAGTCCGGGTCGGGGGCGGCCGGGAGAGGCCGAGGGGAGGGGCGGGGCGGGCTGGAGGAAGCCGCGGGCCCGGAAAGGCAGCCCGGGTGCGCCCCAGAGGCGGGATTGGCCCCGCGGCGGCTCTTCGGGGCAGAGGCCTGAGCCCGCCCGCTGGGCAGGGCATCGGCCCGGACCCCGCCCCTGACCCCAGACCAGATTCTGGACTCGGGCCAGGGGGCGCTGGTCTGCCCGTGCCCCTCCCCCTCCCCGTTCCCACACTCTCGAGATCCGACGTTTATATTCTGCGAGAGGGGACAGGTGACTGCCCGCTGACCACCCCACCCTCCAGGCGGCTGGCCGCAGAGCCGGATCTCGAATTCCGGATTCCGCGAGCCGAGCCCAGTCCTGTGTTCTCCCTCCGCCCGGGGCTGGTACCGCGGCCTGGAAAGGGTTAAGTGGACTGCGAGGAATTAAGAGCTGCAGGGAGCTCTCTATAAATACAGTGTCGTGGGCGCCTAAGCCAACCGCAGGGTAATTTCCACTGAGCTGGTTTTCCTCTTTTCCTCCCACCCACGGCCACCCGACCAGCCCTGCCCCCAGCCCCAGGCCAGGTTCCAACAGGGGGAGCAGCTCTGATCCCCGTGTCTGGGCTCTGTCCTTAAAGGCCCCAGCTCCAGCCTGGGAGGAGATTGGGGGCGGGGCGGGGGGGGCGGCGTTAGGCGCTTACCTTTCTTTGCACATCCAGTCCCTGCATCTGCTCTCCGACCTGTTCTTCATCAGTTACAGACAGGAACAGCTCAAGCGTTGCAAGACTTATGGGGGCCAGGATCTAGACTCGGAGCTTTCCCTGCTGGGGCCCCTTTAGAGCCTCACTACAGTCCCACCAGATAGATAAATTAGCCCCGTTTTACAGGTGAGAAACTGGAGGCTGGATGGAAGGATTCGAACCTCGTGCTTTTGCCAGGCTCACCACCAAGTGGCAACAGAGGAGGAGGAGGGGGCTCAGGAAATAGAATGAATGCATGCGCATCTCTGTAACGTGTAAGAACTTATAAGTTCTCTACTATTTTATCTCATTTAATATTCACAACTCAGTGAGTGGAATGCCATGATTATCCTCATTTGACAAATAAAAAAATTGAGACATAGATTAATAAATTACTAAAGGATAAAAGTAGTAATTGGAGGAAAAAGATTTGCCCCCTTGAATTTAAGTGCCGAATGCAAATTGAATTCTGTGCCTCTGTGTGTGTGTGTGTCAGTGGTACATGGGTATGGACGTTTGTGTGAGCAACTCTGTATTTGAATCTACGTGCACATGTGTTTCTGAATTTAAGTTTGATAGCGGCTATGTCTACGTAACTGCTTCTAGGGATGGGAGCAGAGAACAGGGGTTCAAGGCACGACCATCCGGCTTGGAGGTCATGAGCTTCTCCACCAATGCGTACTGCTCCCCCTGTCCTATCAGGTCCTGTTCCAGGCTGGGCCTGACTTCATAGATCGCAGGATGAGCAGCCCCCACCAGGCCCCACAACCTGGGGAGAAATATCTGAGGAAGAGGTGTCCTTAGGCTGAGAGAGCCAGGATCCCTCCAGCAGGACCCTGGAGGTGGCATAGAACTAATCTAGAAGAATGGACTCTCCTTCCCTCCACCAAGAGTCACTCCTGTGCCTTGTGCCCTGCAGTGGTGACACAGGTCATATCCCAGAGGACTTATAGTGTGGAAGCAGAGGCTTGACTCAGCCATGATGGACAAGGAAGGAATAGCACAGGACAGTTTATATTGGTGTGTGGGGGGAGAGATATTTTTTCATAATTGCTTAAGAGAACAGGTCAGGAGGAAAGGAAGTGAGTATTGCCTCACATTTCTGGAAGCAGTGGCTTGAGAGGGTGCTGATCCCCCTGAAAGGATAAACAGCCAGGGCAGGGAATAGATAGAGTGTCTGGGATGGGCTCCGCTGAGACTCAGACACCTGCCTTGAACACAAGCAGCTGGAGTGACCGTCCCTAATATACAGGAATCTCCACATCGCAGAGGGTGTTTTTCTATGCCTAGTCAAAAATACATCATTTCCCAGGCTCCCTTGCAGCTAGAAGTGATCACGTGATCCACTGTGGCCAATGAGATGGAAGTGAAACTTGCACGTTGGGGCTTTGAGAAAAACTTGTTAAAGGAATGGGCTTATGCAACGGAAGACAGCATGGTGGTTCCTCAAAAAATTAAAAATAGAATCACTATGGGATCCAACAATCCCACTTCTGAGAATAAACCCAAGAGATTGAAAGCACAGTCTCAAAGAGATGTTTGTGTGCCCTCGTCCATAGCAGCTTTGTTCACAATGACCAAAAAGTAGAAAAAACCCAAGTGGCCATCAGTAGATGAATGGATAAATAAAATGTGGTAATACATATAATGGAACATTATTCAGCCTTAAAAAGTAAGGAAATTCGAACACATGCTATGCAATGGATGAATCTCAAGGACAAGATGCTAAGTGAACTAAGCCAGTCCGAAAAAGACAAGTACTGTATGATTCCCCTTACATAAGGTCCCCAGAGCAGTCAAATTCCTAGCGACAGAGAGGAGAAGTGTGGTTGCCAGGGCCTGGAGGAGGAGGGGATGGGGCGGGGGTGGGGGGTTGCTGTTAAGTGGATATGGAGTTTGTTTCATGAGATGGGAAGAGTTCTGGAGATGGGTTACACAACAGTCTGAATGTATGGAACGCTACTGAACTGTGCCCTTAGAAATGGTTAAGATGTTAAATTCTATCATGTCTGTATTTTACCACAATTAAACATTTTTCAGAGTAACAATAAAGAGCGGACCTAGCTGGCATGTGCCTTCGCCTTTTGCTCTTCTTTTTCTTTGTGCCAGAAGTGCAGACACACAACTGGTTGTACAGCAGTCATCCTGAAGCTCTGGGGACAAAAGCTAAGGGTCGCTGAGGAGAAAGTCAGAAGCAGTCTGGTTCCGAAGGCATCGTGCAGCTGCCTCCCGGACCCAGGATTGCTTCCAGCCCTTGGCCTCACCCCCAGAGTTGCCATTGTTCATTCAGGATTGATGAGAGATTGAACAGTGACCCTTGAGAGTCTCATCCTCCCCGGGCTCGCTGTAAGGAGCATCAGACCATCATTCTAGCAAAGGGAGGCCGTGTGCTGACCCTCCTATTACTTTTCCTGGAACAGAATTTCTGAGATGCCAATAAAATTCAAAGACATCTTTCTTTAGCCTCCTTAACATACAAAAGGACAAGTATTTTCCTCATCTATTTGAATACCCTTAAATCAAGCAAACTGAATTCCTTAACCTAGCTTTAAGTGAGGGGGGCGTTGTGAGGTTGGGCTCCTTAGAGCAGCTAAGCAGCCCATCTTTCAGAAAGCAGCTCCAAGACGTTGGCAGGCTTCACCTAAGAGCAATACCCAGAACTCTTCATTTCCCTAAGAAAGAAAAATCAAGTATTGGCTGTGCTGGGGGCCAAAGGCCCCCTTAAGGCATTTTTTCCAAGTTCCCTGTGACACCAGTATCTTGACCTTGGCCTCCCCTTACACAGGCTGCACTTTACCTCCAAACTTGTTTGCATTTTTAGGTCTGAAACTACAGTTTCAGTCCTTGATGTTTTGGCAAAGGCCACCACCCCACCCAGCCCCACCCACTCAATTAGAGTGCAGAAGACTGCCATTTGGGGCGGCCAGCCAGCCCAGACTGTCTAAGGCAACCAGGTTTCCCCTAAATAACCGGATCCAGTGTAGGGTTGGATATAGAGCAGAGTGACCAGGGCACGTTCCTGCTTTCTGCTTTCTTATTCCTGACACTTGAATGTTAGACTTTAGGTGTCTAGATCCAAATACTTCCAGCTGGAAGCATCTGGGGGGCAAAAGAGCAGGAGCAGCCTGGAAAAAAGAGCAGAACTGATCCGTCAAGAACACCTTAACACCCCTACCCCATCCAACACATACGCTGAAAAATAACAAAACGTCTTCTAACAAGGCTTGTATGACCAGCTGTCCCCATCTGGCCCACTGTCCCCTCTTCTTCCCTGGCCACCCTCTCCAGTATCTGTCCTCCCCGTCCCGGGTGGTAGCTTTCACCCTCCTCCCGCTGCTCTCCTCTTCCTTCTCCAGCCCATGCTTCCGGCGCTCGGGATACCAGGAATCCATCTTGGAGTCTGTCCTTGTGCTGGAGGGTCAGGGTGGTTCTCCAAACTGGAGGGCCGGGATGGAGTTAAGAAAGAAAACAACAAAAGTAAAAGAGCACTGTGGTGCCAGGAGACGGTTTTCCCTCATACTGGGAGTTGTTTTGGTTTTTCTGATTTTTTTTTTTTTCTGATGACTTCTAGTCACGTGCTAATAACCCAGTTATCAGCACTTGCACAACCCTAAGAATGAGGGCCTCCTTCAGTGTTGCATCACAAGGGCCTCATTTATGTCCCCTGGCCCTGGTCCTGCTCCTAGGTTTGGCCTCTTGACAGGCTCAAAGAAAAGAGCACATAACAGAACAAGTTAGGGTTCCAGCGGGAGGGATAAGACCAAGAGCCCCAGGCTTGGAGAACAAGGGGCCCCTCAGGAGAAGCCAGCAGGGGAGACCTTCCTAGGGAAGACAGGGGATAAACCATTTGAAATCCAGAAATCCTCGTCTCAATCCAGGTGCTAAATCTCAAATCCTAGTATTGCTTTTTGAGTTACGGGGACTCGTGATGGTCAAGTGGTTTTAGCTGGGCTTGAGGTATGTGCTTGGACATCTTCAGGACATCCGACCACGGTCCCAGCCCTGGTGCCGGCACAAGGGAAAGCTAAGCTGTCCCAATAGTGAGAACGGTTTATTATTCACTGCCAGATTTTTGGGTTTTGTTTTGTTTTGTTGTTTTCTTGAGAGAGCGAGAGAGAAAGCATGCAAGCAGGAGTTGGGGGGCAGAGGGAAAGGGAGAGAGAGAGAGTCTTCTTTTTTTTTAAGATTCTATTTATTTATTTGAGAGCAAATGAGCATATGAGTGGAGGGAGGGGCAGAGGGACAAGCAGATTCCTGGCTCAGCGGGAACCCTGATGCCAGGCTGCATCCCAGGACCTGAGATCACAACCTGAGCAGAAGACAGCCGCTTAAACCAACTGACTGACCCACCCAGGCACCCCAAGGGAGAGAGGATCTTAAGCAGGCTCCAGGCCCTGTGTAGAGCCTAAAAGACACCTCGATCTTATGACACTGAGATCATGACCTGAGCCGAAACCAAGAGTCAGACACTTAACCAACTCAAGCACCCCGGCCAAATCCTCATTTCCAAGGCGGGATGACTGACTGCCAATCCCAGCCCCTTTCTCTTGCTGGCTTCCCTCAGCCCACTCTGCCTTTCATGTGGAGACATGAGGGGGGTGATAGAAGTTGTCCCTCCCGGACCATGCCTTGTGTGTGGATCGGTGGCCCCTCAGGTCACTCACCCTGGAGAGAAACCCAGTCTGAGGTAGGCAGGCTATATGAGCTCCAGCGTCCGGCCAGCCCTCTGACAGTTTCCCTCCCACCCTGCTTCTGTC